AGAAGAAATGAGGTAATAAAGATCGAGTATAAATCAATGAAACAGAAAACAAAAACAGTAGAGCAAATCAATGAAACCAAAAGCTGGTTCCTTGAGAAAATTAATAAAATTGATATACCTCTAACCAGACTGATCAGAGAAAAAAAAATAGAACACAAACATCTAATACCAGGAATGAAAGAGGAACTATCACTACAGATACTATAGATACATAAAAGATATAAAATATTATGCCTTTGTCAATAAATTTGACATCATAAATAAAATTTAAAAATTCCTTGAAAGATACAAGCGAAGTTCACTCAAGAGGAAATGGATAACATGAATAGCCTTATATCTTATTAATGAAATGGAACTTGTAGTTAAAAACATTCCTACAAAGAAAGTCCTAGATTGTTTCATTGGTAAATTCTACCAAATATTTAGGGAAGAAATCATAATGATTTTACCCAAATTCTTCTGGAGGAGAGAGAACACTTCATAACTCATTTTATGAGGCCAGCATTGCCATGTAACCAAAAAAGACAAAGATGTCATAAGAAAACTATGAACCAATTATTGTCATGAACTTAGGTGCAAAATCATAAACACGATTTTAGAAAGCTGTATCCAACAAAAAATAATAATACAGCATGACCAAAGTGAGGTCGATTCAAGGAATGCAAAGATGCTTTAACATTTGAAAATCAACCAATATAATGCAGCACATTAACAAAACAGAAAAGAGAAACTATATGATTATATCATATCTTCAAAATTCATTTTTGAAAAAACTCAGCAAACTGAACAGAAAGGAACTTCTTCAACCTGATAAAGGGCTTCTCTGAAAAATCCTATGGCTAACACCGTTACTTAAGGATGAAAGACTGAATAATTAAACAAAACTTACATTTCAAAATGAGCCATTTAAAATAAGACATTTAAAAATACTAAAATATGTGAAAGAATGACACAAATCAAAATTAGAAAAACTGAGAAATGAGCTGACAGAAATCAAAGAATTTGAATTAAAACAAAAATAATTTCAGATACAAAAAGCTAGAAGGAATATGAGGAAATGATCATCATAATAGTGCCTTAAGAGCTATGAAAAGTGAAGAGAAGAAACTTTTAGAAATAAAAAAAGAAATAAGATAAAAAGTATTCAAGAGAAAGTGATACGTTTATAACGTATCAAAACTTCTAACACTTTTATTTAGCAACCCTTTTGGACAGAAGTAAAACAAGTACTCAAAGAGACAGCTGGGCATGGTGGCTCATACCTGTAATCCCAGCACTTTGGGAGGCAGAGGCGGGCAGATCACCTGAGGTCAGGAGTTTGAGACCAGACTGGCCAACATGGTGAAACCCCATCTCTACTAAAACTACAAAAATTAGCTGGGCATGGTGGCGGGCACCTATAATCCCAGCTACTCAGGAGGCTGAGGCAAGAGAATCTCTTGAAACCAGGAGTTGGAGGCTGCAGTGAGTCAGGATGGCACCATTGCACTCCAGCCTGGGCAACAAGAGTAAAACTCTGTCTCA